CATCAGGAAACAAAAACCGTCTTGTGATTGATTATTCAAATACAATCAATCTACACACTCCACTCGATTCATACCCAACACCTCGAATCGACGATTTGATACTTAAGATAGCTGCTCATAAAGTCTTCAGTACAATTGACCTCAAATCGGCTTACCATCAGGTAAAAATACGACCTGAAGATTACAAGCTAACCGCATTCGAAGCAAATGGCAGACTATACGAGTTTAAACGTTTACCTTTTGGTTGCACAAATGCTGTACCAATTTTTCAGCGGGTTATGGATGAATTTATTCAAAATAATAAACTAGAAAATACATATGCGTACCTCGATGATATAATTATTGGTGGAAAAGATGACCAAGAGCACGATAAAAATCTAAGCCGTTTCCTACATGCTGCTCAAATTGACAACGTAGAAATAAACAAAGAAAAAAGCAAATTTAAAAAACTCATATCGAATTCTTAGGCCATATCATCGAAAATGGAACCTTAAAACCCGACCCTAAAAGATATGAAGCTCTTATAAATATGCCAGAACCAAAAACCTTAAAAGAATTAAACCGAATGATAGGTTTATTTGCCTACTACGCTAAATGGATACATAACTGTACCAAGTTTACTCTACCGCTTACTCAAGCAAGAGACAACTTTCCAACAAAGGGCTTGACCCCACAGGCAAAAGAAGCAATTAAAAAGCTCAAAATTAAACTTGCAGAAGCTTGTCTAGCCTCCCCGAATTTCAAAGTTCCACTAACTATTGAAACAGATGCCTCTGACACAGCACTGGGAGGAACGTTACTTCAACTAGGCAGACCCGTGGCCTTCTTCTCAAGAACACTATCAAACGCTGAAAGAAAACACGCAATTGTCAAGAAAGAAGCAGCTGCTATTGTAGAATGCTGTAGAAGATGGAAACACCTAATTAATTCAGTACCATACATCATTATAATTACAGTCCAAAGATCCATTTCCCTTATTTTCAATAAAACGACTTCAACAAAAATTAAAAACGAAAAACTGACTCGATGGCGTTTAGAATTAGCAGATATTAATTATACAATTTCATACAGACCAGGAAATCAAAATATCGTAGCCGATGCCCTTTCTCGATGTTGCTCAATTCAAAACACCAATAAAACCTTTTACAATATTCACTCCCAACTATGTCATGCTGGAATTAAAAAAATGATACACTATTGCAAAACCCGAAATCTACCTTACTCTACCACTGAAATTAAACAATTAACAAGCCAATGTACCACCTGTAATGAACTCAAACCGCGCTTCTACAAACCTCCAGCTGGTCGTCTTATTCAGGCTACGAGACCTTGGGAACGCTTATCTATGGATTTTGTTGGACCTTTACAATCCACCTCAGCTAATAAATACATTCTCGTGATAGTAGACGAATACTCTCGCTACCCATTTGCATTCCCTTGTAAGGATATAACAGCTAACACTGTGATACAACACCTTCTCAGCCTTTTTTCATTATTTGGTGCACCATCATCTATGCATACAGATCGAGGAACACAGTTTGAAAGTATATCACTTAAGAATTTCCTAGAAAGAAACGGTGTCATCCGAACTCGAACTACTCCATATCACCCACAAGGCAACGGTCAACGTGAAAGAATGAATGGAACAATACTTAAAGCTATTAGTCTGGCCCTAAAAACATTGAGTCTGGGAAAAGATAGATGGGAGGTAGCATTGCAAATGGCTCTATCCTCTATAAGAGGACTTCTGTGTACTGCTACGAACGAGACACCTCATCAGAGGATGATGAACTTTCAGCGTTCATCAATAATAGGTACAGTTCTACCAAACTTCTTAACAGAGCAGGATTCGACAGTTTTATACAGACGTCAGATACGATTAAAGGGAGATCCACTTGTCGACAGAGTTCAACTATTAGAAACAATATCGCCTCATTTTGCACGCGTGAAACTTCAAAATGGAAAAATTGATACAGTTTCAACAAAAGATCTTGCTCCACTACAAGATAGAAATCCCTTAATAGAACCAGTCCAACAACACCCCGAATGCTCGAACAACAACGAAATTGTAATTAATAACAACAACCACAATTCTGAAAATAGAAAACAAGTTGAATTAAATGATACCAACGAAGTAGTTTCGAACCTACTGCATCCGTTTGGGAATCCAATAAAAGATAGCTTCTCTTATGATCAATCAACTACAACAGTACCTAACCAACCATCTATTCAAAAGGTTATTACTCCTGACACACAACCTAATATAATCTCACGAACAGGACGTACTATTAAAAGGCCAAAGTACCTCGACGACTACTTTCTTTCTTAGAGTATTATTCAAGAGTAAGCCGTACTAAAACTTTCTTAAAACGGAGAAGACTGTTATATTCTTAAGAACTATTTGACGCCAATCACGTCATTATAGAATACGGTTGAATGAACTTAAGTTATTCTAATTATATTTAATTGTTGTGTTGTAAAATCTGTTTTGTAGATCTCGAAGTGTGTTTGATTTAATATTTGATAAAAGCCGAAAATATTTAATATAGACTTATTTATTACGGTTTCACAACACTTGTATCGTCTTTCTTATATTACTTTTATGTAAACTTTATTTCTAGAATTCTTGTCCTCTAAACGTTTTTTTCTCCTTGTTTATTAATTAAGTTAAAACATCTGTTATAGTGTGTAAACTTATCCGATATATTTCTTTATAATAAAATACAATATTTCTAGGGGTTATATATACCCTCGTTATTCAAGTAATCAAGATTACTTGAATAAATACAAGATTACTTGAATAACGAGGGTATATATAACCCCTAGAAATATTGTATTTTATTATAAAGAAATATATCGGATAAGTTAACACACTATAACAGATGTTTTAACTTAGTTAATTATATAAAAACTTATCTAAGATGTTAACTTTTAAAAATTATATTGTCGCCAATTATAGTATTGGATTATATCTCCTTGTTTATGTTTACCAAGGCAATACGGACGTTTTAGGTACACTTCTAACGAAAGCGCAATCTTGTTTTGAGTTTTTCATTGGGGGATGGAATAATTCAGGTGGTGGAAATAATCTACTACAGTTTTCTTTAAAATCGCAAACCTACTTATGGATCATCCAAAAGATATTTAACCTGTTTAGTTAAATATAAGCAGTTTTTCGTTACTTTAGTTTTTATAAACGACTTTAATAGACGAATATTGGATATTTTTTGTTGAAATAACTAGTATTACAAAGATATTAACACTATAAAGTGGTTTTGTTCTTTATATTTATGTTACAACAACGTTAATACAAAAAAAAAGGAGATAAAACTTAAATAAAGTAATATGGAATAATACTTTGTTTTAGTCCAATCTGCTTAATTTTCATATATCGGACGAACGGATATATTTTTCATGGAGACAACAGTTAACTCATTAACTTAAGTTAGCCCACATAACTCATTAACTTAAGTTAGCCCAACAGTCAACTCATTAACTTAAGTTAGCCCACCGTCTCAGTAATACAGTATAATATTCATAAAAATTAATGCAAAAAGTGGTAAGTTGGATTTAAACAAAATAAAGAACCAATAACTTCGATAGATAAAAATAAAAATGATATAAAACAACACTGGATATTGTTAACAATCTAATTCAAGAAACTCATGCTATTATTTCATATTATCTCAAAAGTTTTCTACTAAAAGAATAATTTCAAAATCCTAATATAATAGATGAAAAAATATGTTATTTACTTTATTTATTAATTTATGTTATTTTCTTTATTATAGAACATTAAATAAAAGACTTGAAAAAGCTAATGCAGAAATACAATCAAAAAATAAAATATAATTCGACATATAAAAGTAAAAGTTCTCAAAAATTTGAAAATCAATTATTATTACAAAGTTACTTAAAACCTAATAAACTAACCATTAATAAAATAATCCTTCATGATTAAAATACCTTTTATCTATTGGAATGTGAAATGTATTATTTGATATTACTACTCCATATTTACTATTGTGTATTAAAATTGTAAAATTACAATTACAAGTTATAAATTAACAAATAAGGAGTTAATGACATTTTTTATTACTTCAATAGCTAAAAAATTCGACTTAATTGACAAAAAATAAATGTTGATTTCAAAAAAAGAAATGTTGATTCATTATGATTAGTTAAAAAAAATTAAATTATTGCATGATTAATATAACAATGAATCATTCCATGAAAAAATAGATCATTACGTAAATAATTTAGAAGCAGGCTTAAAATTAACTTATTAAGTTCAAGTACTTTTAAATTTTTTAATTTGAAATAATTTAGTTAATAAGTATCAAGCTGCCTCTTAAATGATTGATTTATATATATATAGAAAATTTTGGCGGAGGTGTATTTGATTCACGGGGTTAGGGGAGGGTGGCATTTCTTAGTTAATTTCAATTAAAAAACGGCTAAAATATATGATCGTTTTAATCGCATACACCTCCGCCAAAATTTTAACTATGATAATTAGTAATAATATTAACAGAATAATTAAAAAGATATTTTCTATAATTAATATTACCTAATAGAAAAGATAGTCATTTTTAATAGAAAGATAGTTTTTTTAATTACCTCTGTTTTATTACCCTGTTGTTTCTTAAATCTGTACTGTCTAAATTAAAATATAAAATGTTTTATAAACAAGATCGCAGACAGGTTTTTAAGATGATTGAAATAAACTTTTATTTACGAAAAAAAAGAATTATGGAATAATGAAAAGATGAATAAGGGTTTTTGACAAAAAAAAGTTGAAACAAAAAAAATCCCCTGATTATTGGCTCCTATTTTCATTTGAGGACAATAAGTGGAGTATTTTTTTATAAACTAGGCTTTTTGAGTTTAATAAACTAAGTATTTAACTTCTTACAGACTAAGTTTGAAATCATTGACATACTTTATGAATATATGAAGTTATGAATTTATAATCATGTAAAGTTTATTTCCTTCTAAATTTAAGAGGTGTCTGAAGTTCAACTCAATTATCTAAATGCTTGTCTACACTGTTGATTACAACCACAATGTCAAAGCAGCATGTTAAGTTTGTGTAAAATACATCTTAATTGATTTTTTTTATATAAAAAAGCAGCACATAAAATTTTATTAAAAAAATGTATACTTAAATAGTTTTACTATTTTAAATAGAAAAATTATTTTAAATTTAAATAAATGTTTTTTTAAATGCATATGCTTCAAGTTAATCCAATTTTTTTAACAGAAAAAAAAAGTAATTTGAAATTATTGTAATTATATTCATAATTATAATTATATATAATAAAAGTTTTTTTCTAATTTTTTTTAACAAAGATTTATTTTGGTGTCTATATTTAATAACATGTTCTTTATATTTTTTAGAACTATGCAACTTAAGGAAGTATATTTTGTTGTTTGGATCTTACTGACATTTGCATTTTTAGCATATGTTACAAGTCTTACAACGGCCCACTGGAGAGTAACTGATAGTTACTTTGAAGGATTATTTGAAAGATGTGAATATGGGGAAGATGGATGTAGATTCCTTTATTTTTTCGATCATCATTCAGGTTCTTCAGAATTTTTTAAAATTATTTAGCTATTATATTATTAAAATAGTAATTAAAGCTATAAAAAATGCATAATATTAAATAGAATAAAAAAGGTTTTAAAAAAGGTTTTAAAAAAAGTTTATATTAAAAAAAAAATTTTTTGTAAGGACACCTGCATTCACAACTTTTAGACTTAAAATGCTTTTATAGTACATTTAAAATAATTGTCTAACAATAAAATAATAACAATATAACCACTCATGTGGTAGTTAGAGGTTAAGAGTGAAGTTTGGGTTGCTGTTGTAGTGATGGTTTTATGCACCACAATATTTAAAAATGCTTGATTGTTATCAAAAGTTACAAAAAATATTTTGCTAGGTAACCAGGTATAGTAGTGTAATCATTATTTTAGTAAGAGTGGTTTATCAGCCTTTCACTTTACCCCATTTTAAAATTTAAGCAATACTCCTACTCTAAATACAGTTGTTACAGTATACTTATTTATAATTTTATTCAACTTTAAAACTAAAAGCTTCAATTGTGCGACTCTTAATTGTATGATCGCACAATTCACACTTAAAATATTGTATGATTGCGCAATTCACACTTTAAATATTGTAAACAGTATTTTAAGTGTGAATTGTACATTAAAAAATTAAGAGTCATACATAATGCAAACTTTAAAGTTGAGACTTCATAAAATGCATTCTCTCGGGTGCTTAATACAAGGAGGTGGTGGGAATAATAAAGGGGGTGAAAATTACAGTCCAGACTTAAAAAACAGGTATGTGTGTAGAATTTTTATTAAAAGGTGGGAGGATATGGATTTTTCACAGAACACAAATGAAAATTTTTGTTCTAGTAGCCCTTGTGGTCAAATGCAGGTTTCTTTTAACAGCTGTTTTGATATAATTCAATACAGGAATAAACAAAAACCTAAATTTTGACAAATCAAAATTTATGATATTTTTTAGAGGTCAACTTTTTTACATTGAAAATTTTATTTTTATCAGCAATAACTGATATATTTTTCTAACTTTTTTTTGGTTTTTAGATGTTGTTTTTTATTTATGACAAGTAAAAATTAATAAAGAAGAGGGGTGGAGGCATCCTAATAAGCATGGGGTGGGTGGAGAAAATTTATAATTTGAAATTTATAATAATAATATAATAAATTTATAAATTTATAAATTTATAATAATAATATAATAAATTTATAAATATTAATAAATGTCCCATCCCATGTATTAAGCACCTAAGAGTACTAGGTAAACATTTTATTCCAAATATTACCCAAATTATATAGCAAACTGTATTTTCGATAAGTTATAAATCAGTTTATAAAAATTCAGTTAAAAAAATTTATGCCAAAAAAATACAGTGCCTGAAAATATGCATAAAATTAAAAAAAGTTGCAAAAGTTTAGTTGTTAAAAAAAATTGCTGTGTTTTAGGTGCAACCATATTAGTTATTTTGATGGGTTACCACAACTTGGCAAATCATATCAAGGGGTAGTAAGCAACAAATAAATCATAGCCGAGGCCAGATTTATGGCCAGGGCTGGTTAACTCTTGACAAACCCTATAAATGAAATAAATATCTTATTTTGGATTGAAACTTATGTTAAATATATATATATATATATATGTGTGTGTGTGTGTGTGTGTGTGTGTGTGTGTTTGTGTGTGTGTATATATACATGTGTGTGTATATATATACATGTGTGTGTATATATATACATGTGTGTGTATATATACATGTGTGTGTATATATACATGTGTGTATATATATATATATATATATATATATATATATATATATGTATATATATATATATATACATATATATATATATATATATATATATATATATATATATATATATATATATATATATATATATATATATATATATATATATATATATATATATAATATGTGTGAAAAAATGTACTAGATCTTACGAAAAAGTTAAAAATTACATTAAAAAATAATTTAATCAAATTTAAATAATATAAATTAGTTAATGATTGAGTAAAAACTATTAATCCAAAACCCCAAAATGGTTTTTTTTTACTGTTTCAGAGTTATGGAGTTTTAAGTTAAAAGTTTTCTTAAAGTTATGGCAGAGAAAAACATGACACATACGTATTATTAAAAATGTATGTATATATATATATATATATATAAATATATATATATATATATATATATATATATATATATATATATATATATATATATATATATATATATATATATATATATATATATATATATATCAAGCCTTCCCAGGAAAGGCGTGCGGTTTTTTTTTCTCGTACGACCATAATAACGTTTTTCAAGTTAGAGAATGTGATCACGGACGTTTGCGCAAGTTAAATTATATGCGTTACTGAAAAATTGTTTTAAATTTAATAACTGCATAAGAAATTAAAGTAAATTTAAAAAGAAAACAATAATAATAGTTTAAATAATTTGTGTGTTGTTTTTATTTTTGTTTTTTCTAAGTGGTTATTATTATCAGCAACAAAATTCATTAAGCAAAAAAAAAAAAAAAAAAAAAAAAAAAAAACGGTTTTAGGCGTTAAAAAAGATGACTTTCCCATATTTTATGTAATTTTTCTTTTAAAGAGGAAAGAGAAAATATGTATTATCATCTGTTTGTAAAATATATTTGTATAATTATAATGTAACAAGTTTATATCAAGAGTTAAATTATACGAGCGCATTTGCAAACTCTGGTAAAATATTAGGTTTTTAAAATTTTAGTTCATGCAAAGCTGTGTACTTTGTTTATAAAGAGCAAATTATTAAAAGTTTGCTAGCGAGAAAGTTACAAAAAAACAAAATAAAAACAATAAACTTACGACTAAAAAAGTAATAACACTTTGTCACTAACTGCATTATAAAATTAATAAAACTATAGTATTGTTATTACATTTATAAAGCACTTATTACTTTTAAAGTTCATTCTTTGTTCAAAATTTTAGTTTATGCAAAGCTGCGTACTTTGTTTACAAGGAGCAAATTATTAAAAGTTTGCTAGCAAGAAAGTTACAAAAAACAAAACAAAAACAATAAACTTACAACTACAAAAGTAATAACACTTTAGTCACTAACCGCATTATAAAAGTAATAAAACTATAATAGTGTTATTACATTTATAAAGCACTTATTACTTTTAAAGTTCATTCTTTGTTTAAACAACATTATTAATTCCAAACATTATCTGAGTAGAAAAGTATCTAGAAAAAATTAGGCGGATATTCAAATATTATTTAAAATTTCAGGAACTTTCACATATCCAGGCTTTTTTTTTTTTTTTTTTATTTGCATTCACTCCCAACAAGGCTGCAAGCAACCACTATTATGTTGGGAGTTACTAGGGAAAAAAAGAACAGAGTTATAGAGCAAGGAAACGGTTGACAGAAGACTTGAAAAGTTGAAGGTTGTATGAGTCAGGAAAACATGAAGATGGGAGAGAGTTCCAAAGGATTGAAGTGCGGGGAAAAAAACTAGATGAATAAAAGTTTTTAGAGCATGCAGGGACAGATACAGTAAACGAATGAGACTTAGCTGAATGACAAGTAAAATGAGAATGAATTTTAGTTGATGGAACTAGAGATGATAACTCCTTTGAACAGTGACCATGATAGTATCTGTAGAAAAGAGAAAGAGATACAACTTTACGACGATGGGAAAGAGGTTCAAGCTTAGCAGATAGTCCAGGTCCAACAACATTTACAATGTGTTTTTGGACCTTGTCAAGAAGAGAAAGTGAATCGTTAGAAGAACCAGCCCAAATATGACAACAGTATTCCATACAGGGACGAATAAGAGATTTGTAGAGGTAGAGAATGGAATCAGAAGTAAGGAAATGGCGGGCACGATAAAGAGAAGCTACCTTAGCAGAAGCTATTTTAGCAATCGATTGTATATATGGTTTCCATGAAAGGTCAGTAGTAAGCAATAATTCAAGAAGAAGTAAAGAGGAGGACTCAGTAAGAGGATTGCCATTCATTAATATATGAATGTTGACCATATTACGGTAGTTGTTTGCAGTAAGCAATTGGGTTTTTTTAGAGTTGAAATTCACAAGCCACTGTGAACCCTAATCTATTACTGAAGTGAGATCAGATTCAAGATCAGCTGCTTGTTCTAGGCGATCGAAAAGAGAAGACTTTTTGTCAAGACAGGAGTATAAAGTTGAGTCATCAGCAAAAAGAGCTACTTTAGATAAAAGGTTGTCAGGAAGATCGTTGATGTAGATAAGAAACAAAACAGGGCCCAGGATGGAACCTTGGGGAACCCCAGAAGTTACTGGAAATAAAGAAGAGTGTTGGCCTTCAAGGATGACTTTAATAAACTGGTTAGAAAGAAATGATTTGATAATCTCAAGAACTTTCCTAGAAACACCGTATGAAGCAAGCTTATGGAGAAGACCTGCATGCCAAACTTTGTCAAAAGCTTTAGATATGTCGAGAGCAATAGCCCTAGCCTAACCGCCTCCATCTAATGCACAATAAAATCTTTCAGTTACAGCAGTTAGCAAGTTGGCCGTAGAGCGAGAAGATCAAAAACTGTATTGATTGTCTGACAGTAGTTTATTTGACTCAAGATGAGATGTGAGGAAATTGTTGATTAAAGACTCAAAGACCTTGCTATTAACAAAAAGAATACTGATAGGACGATAATTGGGGGGGGGGGGGTCAGAATTTTCTCAAGAGTTTTTGAATATTGGAACCACAGATGCCATTTTCCAACAAGCAGGAAAACAAGACTAAGTCAAACACTTGTTAAATAGTTTAGAGAGAATTGAAGAAAGTTCTGGAGAACAATTCTGCAAGACTGTGACAGGAATGTTGTCTGGACCACAAGCTGTAGACAAGTTTAATTGAGATATGACTTTAGCAACAGAAGCCGGAGTGATTTGAATGTCTAACAATGGGTCAACCTGTTTGACTGGAATGGAAGGAAGAGAATGTCCATAAGATTCAAGAGTGGAATTAGAAGAA